GTTGATAAGTGTACGTCCACTTGCATTTTAGATGTTCCTTTGCCTATAAAATGGGACCTTGGCCAAGATTTTGAGAGCATCAATTCCTCTTCATCATATTCTGATTTCCTTCATTTTCTTTGTAACATTTCATTATGTATTTCTAAACCATTAGCTAGAGCTAGGGTTGAAACTTTGGTGAATGCGTAGTATTATCTTTGATCTTTCACTTTGTTCTTCAATGTTCATCTTCTTACTTGGTTGAAGTATATGTTCTACAAGGGGTTTTGGTTTGTTAAAGATTTTGATTTATTGTTGACAAATTTTGGCACAATAAATGCTTAGATAATCTTTACATACCAACAACTTATTTTGACATATTCTCCCAAATAATTATCAAGATCTATCTTTCAGTATATTTGCGATTAATATTTTATCTTCTATATCAGATCACTCCTTACTTGATTTTCATACGAGTTACATAAAAGATCAAGGGAAATTTCTACTCACTTACCCGAAGTGAATCCCCTACGCTCTAGTGTTCTTCTCCATCGTATTTTCACCAACCATTTACCACTCATAGAATAGTTTATTTCCTTCCAATTCCCTGTGGTTCGACCTCAGACTTCTGAGTTTACTACTTGCGACAACCTACATTTGGGGCATTTGACTGAATAAACGAATTTCACTTGCACTTGAGCTAATGTCTTGAAGACAGATTAACAAATGAATGTGTCTGATGTCTAAAATATTGAACTTTTAATTGAAATGATTAAAAAAGGCAACTGATAGTTGATAATTTTACGTCGTCTAGTGAAGCAGAAATATAAACTATGGACTGCCAAGACTTGGCCAATATACAATGTCAGCCAATAGTTACTTATCAGATTTTAAAGTACGATACAATAACTAGTCAAAGAAAGTAGTAAATTTTCAAATTTTAAGCTAGAGTCAATTTTAGCTTATTTCACTAATAATTAACAGCTTATATAAACTGAAGTCAAATAAATTCCAGCACCCAATCCATTTTCAAAGTCTCACAATTGTCACCACCAAACCCTTGACATATTACAAAAATGGTTTAACTGATTCCAGGTTACTCAACTTTAACGGAGTTGCATTAGGATAATGTCATTTTAATTTGGTGCAATTTGACAAAGCTAACTTCATTTTAGTTGTTTGTTATTGTTAGTTTCATTCATGTAATATGCTTATTTAGACTTGGAAACTAGTGAATAACTGACATTTAAAATGTCTTGTATGTTAATACTGTTGGAAAAATGAGTAATTTGTGTGTAGATATTTATCATAAAATATAAAATTAGTATACATATAATTCAATTATAATCATAATCATAAGAATTCAATATAACAGAGACATAAATATAAGTAGAGAAAGTTAGAAAGAAAGCAAGCTTTGGGAGTTATGTCGAAAACACTGTCTTAGAGTCATGTTGCTTCTTATTCGTGAGGGTTCTTTCGGCACTACACAGCTCCAAGATAAAGCCCACATAACTTACAATCGATTCTCCTTCTATGTACACGACCATAGGGAGATAAGTGAACAATCTTTTATCGAGATGTCAAAAGTATAATATAAAATTATAGAAAGTATAATACTTTAAGTGGTTCTCTCAAATTATAGAAACAACTCTATTTTATAGTAAGAAAATAATTATAGACTCACACCTTGCGAAAATTCTCACCTTGGTACTTATTCAGGATTAAACCATTCCTAACATCACATTATTATTAGCACTATCGCCATAAGGATGAGTACAAATAATATAGTGCTATTATAAGTCACGCAGTATTAGTTGTTTCTACCACATTGTACCTTTTTCATGGGATCTCCAATCATAAGGTTGAATTACTTCCGATGGTGACTCCCTTATGGGATTATGTCCGTCCCCTCGATGTCAATATCAATAATTATATCACATATTTAATTATTGATATTGGGTTCATGTAACACATTTGGGAAGATACATCCAATGAGCTCTTGCATTTCACCTCTAATCTTCAATTTCATTTTTAGCACTTTTTAAGAGTTAGTTTACAACTAAGAAAAAGAAAATATAAGGTGTATCTATATTAAACTATTCCACATTCCAAAGATATCCATCATGTGGAGCTTCTTTGAAATTTTTCCATGTCTGCAAACACCTTTAAACACTTTCACAAAATATTAGTGTCACAATAAATAAGAACTTAGATAGATTTACATAAAAGAATGACATTTTGATATTCATCCAACTTCTCTTAGAGCATTGACCAAAGACAAGAAAACCCAATTAAATAGTTTATTACCCCCACAATTCAAAGATACAATACATTTTTTTTTAATCAAGTATTCTTAAACTCCATGTATCACAAAATAGCATTGATCTTTTTAAGAATGATCGAGGAAATAACTAGTTGATTAATCATTCTGCATCTTCTAGTATTGTTTTCTTCATGTGATTTCTCTATAAATCATACTGGAAAGAGACATCTTGTCTGGGAATTGTATTTAGGAAGGCTATATATTCCATGTGGAATGGATAGTTATAGGTTTGATACGGCATAAGAAGCAATCTGTACTATAGCAAAGGATATCTGCTATCTTTTATTAGCTGCTTCCTTGATTCTTGAAGGGTACTCTATCAGTGTAACTCAAACACTGATATATCTTTATTCTATTCATTACACGAGAGCTGTAATATTTTATAACTCTAATGGAATCCACTAGATAGCTGTCTAATTGTTCATAATAATCTCACACGGTCCTTGATATGGGAAGTAGAACTATCCAGGTAGAGAGGTTTCAGAAATTAACATGAAAAGCTTAAAACTTAAGTTTCATGGCCTCGGTTTTCCCATCATACATCTATATGAATATGATCTAAATATCGGAAACACAGAACTGACCATCAAAAGACACTTTAAAAGTTTGTTTTCAGTGGCTAAACAAATAAGTTTAGGTGTGTTAATAATTTTGTTGTTTGACTAAATAGTTAATGATATTATAAGGACATTGTGTTTTTTTAGAGTATATTAAATTTATGTTTTGGTTCCAAATCTGTAAAGAGCAAAGAAAGGAGCTGTTTTAGGACTGCTTCAGTTGCTGTTAATGGTTTTCTTTTGGTGCTGTTAATGGTCTTTTTTAGAGCAGAGCAGATGTTGTTACGAAATGAAAACAGGTGTTATTCCTCTGCATTGGTAGTGTACACCAGCAATTCTACTCCTATGATTGCTGATCTGGATTTTTAATCTTCACATAAAAGTGCCCTTGCTATAGGCTATTCGGACAACATCACATAAGGTAGACTATCATAGGTTACATGACCTCACCACTATAACTTCTCTATGATGTGTTCTATAGGTTAGTACAGTCATGTACAAACAAGTACTAATGCATTCCGAAAAGATTAAGAAATAGAAGCAAAATAGAGGCAACAAAAGCAAAAAGAAATGTTTACAAGGTCCACCATCAACTATCAATGGATCTTTACCCATGCTTAACATTGGACTTGACTTCGTTGTTGGATCACATCATCCTGTCTCCTCTTCCA